CATTTTTACTATTTCCTTCCTTCTACTTGCTCTGGGGTTTTCTTTTTCTTTGCTCTCTAGTTTTTTAAGTTGTGATGTTAGATAGTTTATTAGAGATTTTTCTTGCTTCTTGAGGTAGGCCTGTAGTGCTATGAATTTCCCTCTCAAAACTGCTTTCACTGCATCCCAATGACTTTGTGTTATTATGTGTTCATTTTTATTGGTATCCAGGGAGTTTTTAATCTCTTACTTGATCTCCTCAGTAACCCATTTGTTGTTTAATGACATGCTATTTAGCCTCCATGTTTTCAAATGTCTTTGCATGTTCTTGTTGCAGTTGATTTCTAGTCTCATGTTATTGTGATCTGAGAAGATGCTTGCTATGATTTCAGTCTTCTTGAACTTGTAGAAACTTAGTTTGTGTCCTAACATGTGGTCTATCTTTGAGAATGTCCCATGTGCACTTGAGAAGAATGTGAATTCTGTAGTTTTGGGGTGTAATTCTCTGTAGATATCTATTTGATCTAGTGCTTCATTTATAGTCTGTGTTTCCTTGTTAATTTTTTGTCTAGAATATCTATCCAGTGATGTCAGTGGGGTATTAAAGTCCCCTGCTATGATTGTATAGCTGTTGATTTCTCCTTTGAAGTCCTCCAGAAGATTTTTAATATATGTTGGTGCTCCTATATTGGGTGCATATATGTTTACCAAGGTTGTATCTTCCTGTTGGATAGATCCTTTCAATATTACGTAGTGGCCTTCTTTGTCTCTAGTTATGTCCTTCATGTTGAAATCTACTTTATCATATATGAGTATTGCTACCCCAGCTTTTTTTTTTGCTTTCCGTTTGCTTGAGAGATTTTTTTACATCCTTTCACTTTCAACGTATGTGAGTCTTTTGTTGTGAGGTTGGTCTCTTGCAAATCATATATATGTGAGCAGTGCTTTTTTATCCAGTTAGCTACTCTCTGTCTTTTTATCGGATCATTGAGACCATTCACATTTAAGGTGATAATTGATATTTACTTATTCATTGCCATTTTTGTTTAGTGTGGTTCTATTTTTCTTCCTTTTTCTTCTACTAATTACAGCAGTCCTTTTAGCATATCTTTCAGTGCTGGTTTGATGGTAATATATTCCCTTCGCCTTATTTTGTCTGGGGAGCTTTTTATTTGACCTTCTATTTTGAATGATAGCCTTGCTGGATAGAGTAGTCTTGGATTCAGATCCTTGTTTTTCATGACCTTGATTACTTCAAGCCCTTTTGGCCTATTGTGTTCCTAGTGAGAAGTCAGCTGACAGCCTTATGGGGGTTCCTTTGTAGGTAACCTACTGCTTATCTCTTGCTGCCTTTAGGATTCTGTCTTTGTCTTTAATTTTTGGCATTTTAATTACTACGTGTCTTGGTGTGGGCCTGTTTGGATTCTTCTTACTTGGGGCCCTCTGTGCTTCTTGAACTTGAATGCCTTCTTCCTTCACCAAGTTCGGAAAGTTTTCTGTCACTATTTCTTCAAATATATTCTTGAAACCTTGCCCATTTTCTTCCTCTTCAGGGACTCCTATGATGCGAATGTTATTATGTTTCCAGTGGCCCACAGTTCTCTTAAGCTGTCTTCCTGTTTCTTAATTGTTTTTTCCTTTTGGTTTTCTGATAGGTTGATTTTTTTCTACCCTCTCTTCTAATTCAATGATCGGGTCCTCAGCTTCCTCTACTCTGCTGGTTAGTCCTTCCAGTGTGTTCCTAATTTCTGCTATGTCATTCTTCTTTTCTACTTGGTTGGTTTTCTTTGTTTCTGTATCTTTACTCATGGTGCTGATGTCTTTACTCATGCTGTTGAACTTCCTCCAGATGATGGCTCTACCTCTGATAATTTGCTTAGCTGCATTTCATTTATCTCATCTTTGATAGTGTTCTCTTGTTCTTTCATTTTGGATTTGTTTCTTTGTTTCACCATTTCGACTATCTCATTGGTTTTTGGAGCCTGCCAAATTTTCCCTGTGGGTGTTGGTGTTCAGCTGTTTGTGGCTTCCTCTACTTGGTTTGGATGAGTCTAGCTGGGCCCACGTTAAACACCACTGTCAAGTCTTTCTTTCCTGGTAGATTTGCAAGCCCAGGAAAGGTTCAGGTATCCTTTAGTTTTTTCTTGGTGGCTAGTAGTCTCAGTTACTCAGTGCCTCGGAATGTAGCCTTGGTGTTCTGTATGAGGACTTCCAGAGGGTGGGATAGATGCTGGTTGTTAATGAGCCACAGTTTGCATTTGTTTGCCTCACCTGGGAAAGGCTGAAACTCTGAAGGTGGAGGGCTGCTGCTTTTACCCATATCTTGGGGAAGGAGCACAGTGGCACTGTCCTTTGTGGCTACAATTCAGCAAACACTGAGTGCCCTCCAAATTCCCGGCATCCTCACAAAGTTCCAGCCCAGTCTGCCCTCCCTCAACTATAGCTCCCAGATGAGTGGCTGTGGCTATTTTAGCACTCTGTCCAGGATTTCTGCACTGTGGAGCAGGCTTGGTCTGTATTCCCCAAGGACAATTCTCACAGCTGAGACTGCTGCTGTCCGTGGGCTCCCAGCCCGCCACCCTCTCGCGCCTCTGCAGATCCTCCCAGTGTCCCTGGTTATATTGTCCTGTCCTGCTGTGTTCCTGTTTCTTATTTCCAAGGATTTGTCTTTATTTTTTTGTAATTCCCTTTTGGTCCTGGGAGATCCTCTGTGTAGCTTCTGTTCACTCCGCTTCCATTTTCACATCCTCTATGCCTATCTTTTGTGCAACTGGGTCACACAGCCCTTTCTGGTGCCCCTGCACCCTGCAGGTTCCGCAGGTAACTGGATCACACAGTCCCTTTGGGGACCCAGCTCTATGCCTGTGTTATGGGCTGCTGGGTCGCACAGGCCTCTCTGGTGCTTTAGCACCCCACAGGTCCCAAGGGTAAGTGGATGGCACAGTCTTTGCTGGGTCGCGCAGACCTCTGTGGTGCTTCAACACCCCACAGGCCCCATGGGTAACTAGATTGCGCAGTGCCTGCTGGTTCAAACAGGGCTCTCTGGTGTTTCAGCACCCCGCACATCCCGCAAGTAATTGGATGGCACAGTCCTTGCTGGGTTGCACAGGCCTCTCTGGGTCTCCGGCTTCCCACTGTTCTTGTGGGCTACTGGACCACACAGGTGTCTCTGGAGCCCCAGGTCCCACAGCTGGCAGGTGGGGAGTGCTGCTGCCCCGTGGGGCTCAACTCCTGCTCAGCTTTTGCTGTAGTTTTTGTAGATGGGTCTCAGCTGCCGGTCTGTGCTTCTGTTGCCTGGGGATGGATGTCTGCTCCCCAGCCTCTCTTGCTGGGGGTATATCTAGACTCTGATCAGGCTGCTACTATGAGAGATGGTGCTGGGCTCTGGGCTGTCTGCGGCTTCCGAGACCAGCACCTTGGGAGCTCCACTACTGTGCACCGGTCTGTGTTGACACAGAGTGTCCACTGGTCCGATGGTGCCAGGTGTGCTTGTGGGCTCTGGTTGCTGGGCCCTAGCTGCTCCCACTGCCTTCTCTCAGGGAAGGCCCAAGATCTTCCAAAATGGTGGGACCTCTCCGAGGCGCAGGGAGAAGCACCCTAAAGCACTGCTTACCTCAGTAGCCTGCTGCTCTGTCCACAGCACAGGAACTTTCTGCTCCGTGTCTTTGCACTGCTTGGGTTTGGTCGTCCACCTTCACATCCACTCACACTCTCTCACACACTCTGTCACTCTCTCACACACTCACCCTCCCTCCGATCCTGCCCGTCACCATCTTTTTTCCATAGGAGGATTTTTGATCTCTTGGTCAGGATGACCTGTTTGTCTACTATCATGCTTTTAGTCTAATCTTGGGCATTTTGGGTCAGCTGTTTTCTAAAATGGCCATAAGCTCCATTTACTAGCATACTTTTGTCATGTATAATCTGATTGTTGATATTATGATTCTTGGCATCGTGCATAGCAGCTAATAGAGTTAAATGCTTTAATCATTTTTTCTGCTGTTTTAACACTTTATGATCATTTTTAGAAACAATAATTGGTATGTTTTGACACTGTCATTTTCTATAGTGCAGGAAATTGCTTTACAAAATCATCACAGTTGCCCGGCCAGTGTGGGTCAGTGGATTGAGCATTGTCCCATGGACTGAGAGGTCCCAGTTCGATTCTTGGTCAGGGCACATGCCTGGATTGCATGCAGCTCGATCCCCGTAGGGGGCATGCAGGATGCAGCTGATCAATGTATCTTTCTCACATCTATGTTTCTATCTCTTTCTGCCTTCCTCTCACTGTAAAAAGAAAATCAATAAAAACATATTTTTTTTAAATATCATCACATTTTCTCCACCACCAAATAACCATGGAAAGAGAAAAAATTCTTTTCGAATACTTTTTTTTAATTTTTTTTTTATCCTCACCGGAGGACATTTTTCCATTTTTTGTTCAGTTAGAGTGGGAGGGAGAGAGAGGGACGGGGAGAGAGAGAGAGAAACATCGATGTGAAAAGAACACATCGAGTGGCTACCACCCGCACGACCGACCAGGGCCGGGGACAAACTGCAACCGAGGTACGCGCCCCTAGCGGGAACCGAACCCAGGTCTCTCGGGACCACAGGTCGACGCTCTAACCGCTGAGCCAAACCGGCCAGGGCTCGAATACTTTTTTTTTAGTATTGCTAAGCTTCTTAGCACAGAGGTTTCACTTTTACAGAAAGTTAACCAATTAACATTACCTTCATCTTGAAGTGTGTGATTATTTAACTCTCAGTTTAATTTATGTTTGCTTTAGTGATCTTTTAAAAATTGTTAGATTCTTAGAGATATTTAAGAATCCATAAGTCTAAAATAAGGATCTGTTTTCTCTGATGCAAAAGTTTTGTGAAATATAAGAAAATGTTTGAGGATGTTGTTTGAACCACAGTTTATTTTAAATGATTGTTGTAATGACAAGTTTTAATTGCTAGATAATCTCAAAAGAAGATGAGTTCATGTAAGACTGAAAAGAGGGTTTGTTTTCTGTCAGGTGAAAGTTGTCGATGAAAGGAGGTATCGGAAAGTGTTTGAAGATATTGTACGCATCATGGACAGAATGGAAAATGACTTTCTTCCTTCCTTAGAACTCAGCAGGAGAGAGGTAAACAAAAGTACATGACACCCTCTTCTGCTACCCTTCATGGTTAGCACAGGGAAAACCATGTGACTTAGAGAAGGCAACACAGCAAAGTGGTGAAGGCAATGTCTGCTGAAATCAGATTGCCTTTATTCCAATCCCAGCTCTGCCATTTAGTAGATTTATGACCACAAGCGAGTATCTTACCCTTTCTGAGTCACAATTTACTTTTCTGAATATAGGAGTGGTTGTGAGGATTACATAAGTCAATACATGTGAAGCTCTTAAAACAGCGCCTGGTACAAAATTAAGTCCTCAGATTTTTAGCTACTCTTATTTAATACTTTAGAGTTGCTGGCTAATTCATATCTCAAGAACCAGGACTTGGTCATGAGATGAATGCCCTGACCCAAGGTTGGGTTATCTTGTTAGGATCCCAGAAAAATCAGAGTAGCCTAGAGAAGTAGCAAGAACTGCCTAAGTCCTCCTGTGCTGGTGGGAGTATAGTAATATATGAAAGGGGATAGTGTACAGCTGGCTCGGTTGGTGAGTTTATATGGCAGTTGCACACCTGGTTAATAATGACCTCATTCTTTATTCATATTTTCTGTGGAATAATCCAACTGACTTACTTCCCCTACTAGTGATGCATGTTTGTGTCTGTCTGTTATTCCCCAGTTTGTGTTTGAGAATGTGAAGTTTCGGCAACTACAAAAGGAGAAGTTCCAGATCACCAACAATGGACAGGTTCCCTGCCATTTTTCTTTCATCCCTAAACTTAATGACAGCCAATACTGCAAGCCATGGCTTCGGGCTGAACCTTTTGAGGGCTACTTGGAGCCAAGTGAGTTTTTCCTTTACCATTGTCTCTGCTTGTAATGTACCATCCCCTCATGACTCCCATGTCACCTTCCTTTGTTTAACTTCTTGTTCTCTAACCACATGTTTCTTACCTTCACTGTCATTACATTGGGAATACCTCTTTTGTGTGTCCAATATCTGCTTTGTCACTTGATGCTTTCTTAGAGGACACGTCTGTTAGTTCTCATCTCCATTTTGTTTTCCTATTGGAGGTTTCTGTTACCACGTACATCTCTTACATTTCAGATGAGGCAGTGGACATTTCCCTTGATGTTTATGTCAGCAAAGACTCAGTGACCATCCTGAACTCGGGGGAAGATAAAATTGAAGATATCCTTGTCCTTCACCTGCATCGAGGCAAAGATTACTTTTTGACCATCAGTGGAAATTACCTCCCAAGTTGTTTTGGCACATCCTTAGAGGCTTTGTGCCGAATGAAAAGGCCAATCCGAGAAGTTCCTGTTACCAAACTTATAGACTTGGTAAGAAACATCCTAAGATATAACCTCCTTTAGATATAATTTTTACAATACTTAAGTGATGTCCTCATTGTCTCTTTGCTTTCTTTTTTTGTCGGGAGGGGGGTGAGGTGGACTGTGAGGGATTTCATGTGAAAGATAAGAATAAGACTGTCACTTACTCAAGCACTACTTTCATTAGGACTAAGACTAAAAGGAAAGAAGAAAGGGTAATCTATAATTGGCTCTTGTCAGGAACATAATAGGTAATATTAAATTCACTGAATTAGATTAAAGGTTCCCTTCTTAAAGATATAATGCTTGTTTGTTACACTCTTCATACTTCCAAGTCACTTTTGTATAAATAGGCATGTATGTGAGGTACAGTAGATAGGAGAGGCAGTATTATGCCCATTAAACATATGAGAAAACTGAGGCACAGAGACAATAACTTGCCCAAAGTAGAATAAGTTAGTGACAAATCTATCACCTAGATTTTCTGACTTCCAGTCTACTGCTCCTCACTATATCTTATCTAATCTAAGTCAAACTTGGCTGCTTATTGCAGCCCAGACCCATATGTGAACTTCAGAGTACCTGCCTCAGAAGCCCCAGGCTTGTTACGCAAGTGCAGATCCCTCCCCCAACCTCTAGCAACAGAATCAGAATCTCAGAGTGTGAGTCCCAGGAATCTGCACTTATCAGCATTCCAGAAGATTATAATGTGCATGGAAGTTTGATACATGTTTAATGTGACTCCCTTAAGAAAGCAGAGGAAGGCCCTGGCCGGTTTGGCTCAGTGGTTAGAGTGTCGGCCTGTGGTCCAGAGAGACCCGGGTTCAGTTCCCGCTAAGGGCACATACCTCAGTTGCAGTTTTCCCCAGGCCCTGGTTGGTCGTGCGGGTGGCAGCCACTCGATGTGTACCTTTCACATCGATGTTTCTTTCTCACTCTCTCTCTCTTCCTCTCTCTCCCTCCCACTCTGTCTGAACAAAAAATGGAAAAATGTCCTCAGGTGATGTTAAAAAAAAAAAAGAAAGGAAAGGAGGAGGATTTCCCTTCCTGTCACTAAACTGTAATATTAGTATCCTTATGGAGGAAATGCTTATCTATTGTAACATAAATTGATTTAGTAACAAGTTCATCCTGTTGTTTTCTTCTAAATGAATGTATTGTTGCATTTGTGTGCAGACCTCTTTAGGCTATAAAAGTATATCCTTGATCTTTTGCCAAAGAAATTTAGATGATATGACAACCTTACGTTATCCCTACCATTACATTCACTTGATCCTTTTGCCCTGGCCAGAGCAGTGATTGTATCATCTAGCCAGAAGACTAGGTCAGTGGGCAGGCTGCTGCTGGCTTGTCTGACTGTGATCTGTTCTGTTGCCATGGAATTGTTTTAGCTATGACTCAGATGGCAGATTAAAACACTTGAGTCCACTCCCAGCATTCTTTCTTGGAATTATACTTGTTTCCCTAGGGCCCTTATGACTAAATGTATTACCTCTGTCCAAGAGAGAACCATTTTCTTCAGAAATTCATATCCTAACATTCTGTTATTTTTCATGATACTTGTTTTTTCTTCTACCAACAAATTTAATATTTAACCTTTTAGAATATATTGTAAATGAAGTTGTTTTTCTTTTTTTCATACCCTCTTCTCTCCATTCCAAACACTATTTTTTCCAGCTTTCTTTTTTTTTCCAATTTATATTATGAAAATGGCAAATGTGCAGAAAAATGGAAAGAACAGTATAGCCCCAGATGCGTGTCTCAGTAGGTTGGAGTGACGTTCCAGACACCAAAAGGTTGCGGGTTCGATCCCCGGTCAAGGCAACCAATTGATGTTTCTCTCATTGATGTTTCTCTCTCTCTTTCTCTCCCCCTTCCTTTCTTTCTAAAATTAATAAAAACATATCCTCAGGTGAGGATTAAAAAAATAAAACCCCGGCTGGTTTGGCTTAGCATTTAGTGTCAGGGTCTCAGATTTCATTGCTGGTCAAGGGCACGTACCTGAGTTGCAGGTTGATCCCTGGTCCTGGTTGGGGTCGTGCAGGAGGCAACCAATCAATGTGTCTCTCTCCCTCCCTCCCTCCCACTTTATCTAAAAAAATCAATGGAAAAATATTTTCAAGTGAGGACTGAAAAAAAAAAAAAAAAAAAAAAAGACAAGTACAATGAACACCCACATGCTCTACATACATACAGGTGTGAGCAAAAGTAGGTTGACAGTTGAAATACAAAAAATAATACAAGAATAAATTCTGTCATATACTCACAACTGTAAACATACTTTTGCCCATTCCTGTATAGATAGAGATTATTTTTTGCTGTACATTTGAAATTGAGTGGTAATATGTCACTTTCACCAGTGAATATTTCAGCCAGCTGCTCTTAAGGAATAGGACAACTTCTGTATAAGCACAATAGTACCATTATTACACCTAAGAAAACTAGGCAGTCCATATCTAGATTTCTCCAATTGTCCCAATAATTTTTTTATAGTTTTCTTGAAGCCTAAATCCAGTCTGGATTCATACAGTAAGTACATTTGGTGAGGTCTCTTTAGTCTCTTTTGGAATAGAACAGTGTTCACCTTTTTTTCTTTAGTGGCATTGAATTTTTAAGAGTCCAGTACACTTTTCCTGTCAAGAATCCAGTATTTTCTAAATTTGTCTGATTGTTTCCTCTTGATAATTTTTTATTTTTATTTTTTTAAATATGTTTTTATTGATTTTTTTTTAGAGAGAGAGGAAGGGAGAGATAGAAACATCGATGTGAGAGAGAAACATCCATTGGCTGCCTCCTGCACACCCCCTACTAGGGATTGAGCCAGCAACCCCAGCATGTGTCCTGACCAGGAATCAAACTGGGACCTCTCAGTCCATGGGACAATGCTCAATCCACTGATCCACACTGGCGGGCTTGATAATTTTTTAAACTTATTCCTTGAAACTCCCTCCTGCCACCTTATTTCCCATAAACTGGAATCTAGCTTTACTTTTGGTCCGAGTTGGCAAAAGCATTATAATACCCTTTACTATACTTGTCCCATATTAAAGTGACTGGAAAGAGCTCAACAAGCATAAAATTTAAAAATTTTATTTTAAATATTATCAGGTAATTCAGCCATGTTTGACCATGAATAGGAAGTAGCCAAAATCTTTAGTGGAGTTAATGGCTCTGTAGGAAGCCCTTTCCTTCTTTTTATGCACAAATGATTCAGTGTTTAAAAAAATAGAACCCTGATCATTTTTTCATTACAAAATTGCTGAGTACTTACTAAATTGTATATGTGTGGTCATCATTTATTCTTTTAAAGCTTTTATTTTATAGGATTTAGGGTGCTGATTCTTTTCACAGCCTGTTGCATTTTTGCATTAATTAAATTCCTGTATTTCATTGATGAGGAAATTATCCATATTAGTGTGGGACAGTAAACAAGAAATCTAACATCTGTGTCCTAATCATAATGCCTTCCCCATTCTTGATTTTGCCCTTCTGAAGTGCTATCTTAGTTTGTTCTGAGACCCAAGATGATATTTCATATCCCATGGAACAATGCTATTAATAATGGTACTTGTTGTTGTCATTGTATTATTTACTCTAAATTTATAGTGAAATCAGAAATGAGTTCAGTGCCTGTGTTGACTTTCCATGTAACATTTCAGAAAGATTCTTGTGCCACACTCTCTTGGCACGAGTCCTTTCATTCTTCATGCCCGTGTCAATGACAACGATTTTGCTACTCCTAGAATATTTGGGATTAGCCCAAGAGGCAAACAGGAGAATCTGTTTGTAATTATCTTTATTCTTTTCCAGAATTAAGATAGACTTTTTTTGGTTTATAAACTAGCATATAATTAGCATATAATCATAAATATTTATTCACTACATATTGGATACAAACTATTATGGAGTTTATGTGGGTTTTGTAATTTAATGGTAATAAAAATTTACTTGTATGTACACTATGGCTAAATTCTAAATCAAGGTTAATAGGGAGTTCAGTTAGAGATAACATTAGCCACTTTTACTGGCTAATGTCCAGTGTGTTTAAGAAGTCAATATTTTGGAATGTCATTTAGAATGAGAGTTATGGAGCTTGTAATTTTGTTAACAATAGATTCCTTTCCTGTGCTGTTTACTCAAGCCCTTTATGCTATAAAAACTTATTGATTATTTAATGCATGTAGCATTAACATAACTAGAAATTAGTTCAGCATATAAGAATAAAGTGGACTAGGAAAGTGTTTGGGGGTTCATTATAGAAGGATTTTGAGTCAAGTCCAAATGTATTCTTATATTAGGCGAGCAAGCTCTTCCAGGCATAAGGGACATAGTGAATTAAGGTTAAAAGTGAAAAATTAGGAATGCAAAAATAGCGGCGGAGTGAATGGAAGCTGCAAAGATGATCTCCCAGGACCATATGGGAATTACAACTAAAATAAAGACAAATCATCGGAAAAAAGCAACAGAAAAGCAGCGGGAAAGAACCATATAATCAGGGACACCAGAAGGATCTGCAGAGGCACTAGAGGGTGCTGGGCTGGGAGCCCACGGAGAGCAGCACTGTGAGCAGTGCCCTAGGGGATAAAAGACTATGCTTGCTCCACAGTGCAGAGGGCCAAAACAGAGCACTGGTTTGGCTACAGTCACTCACCTGGGACTCAGGCAGAGGAAGGGCAGACTGGACTGGGACTCTTTGGGGACAGCCGGGATTTGGAGGGCACTCAGAGTTTTTACTGAGTCGCGGCCACAAAGGACAGTGGCCAGCTTGCTCCTTCCCAGACTTGTGGGGAAAAGCAGCAGCCCCTCCCTTGGAGATTCAGCTCCTTCCAGGTGAGGAAAGAAATGCAAATTGCGACTCATTAACAACCTAAATCTGTCCCACCCACTGAAAATCCTCTTACTCAGAACACCAGAGCTACATTCCAAGGCCCTGAGTAACTGAGACTAATAACCTCCAGGCAAAAAGTTAGAGGATAACTGAACCTTTCCTGGGCTTGCAAATCTACCCA